TCTTTCTAGATAGATGCATATTAATTTTCGTATGGTATCAGGTGTAGCGAGAAGTTCTTTTCGACGAGCTTCAATCGAATAAATGAATTCATTTCATCGACGCCACTGAATTTCTTGCAGGAGAATGTCATGGTGGCCGAATGTTATAAATAATAATAGCGACTACTTTGATGATTAAGCATTTGTACAGTATTTTAAGTGAAACTTTGATTTTACCGAAATATCGGAAGAAAACTTTATACTGGACCTGATGTAAATATAATGTTATTATTTATATTACTAAATATATCATTTATCTCCTCTTACTCGAGCGGCATAAATTCAACGTTAGAAATTTTATCTCTGGAATACTGGCAATATATTAGAAACACTATAAAAGAGAGCGAGGTTTTATTAAAATATTCCTTCCATTTTCGTTGAAAGCTTTTAAAAGTTACGGATATTAAAATCCGCGGGCCACGAATGTTCATGGAAGCCGATATTGACGGAATGGCGTGTCGATACGCGTTGCATGTTGACGACATATTTCAGAATCGCACACTTAATCGTTTCAGGTCAAGGAAAAATGGAGGTATTAATTATTTGAGCGCGGGGGAAGAGTTCTATTTTCACGTTAAGGAACCCACTTTTCATGGAAGGAAAGTCGTTACTCGCTGGGTAATACGTATTTGTTAACTTTACTTACCGCACGTGAGCGTTTCAGTTCAGAAACGAAATTGTTTCACCGTTCGATTAAAGAATCGCCTTGACTAGTAATCGTTTCGATTAATCCATGAATCATTGGAGTGAATCTCAGCGATGTTCAATCACGGTGGAACAGTGAATTCTGTTCTCTTGGCCGGATTCCGCGGATCAAAATTTTCCTCGTGCCTGTTCCGCGGCTTAACGATCGCAATTGCGGCGAATATTGAAGCCGGTTGCCCGCAGTTTCGAATCGACGCGCGTAAATCGGACCGCCGTAAGTCTACCCAGTCGGCGGGGCGCAATCCGCGAACTTCCGGTAAACGGGAGCAACGTAGAATAGAATTCCTCGCAGGAATTCCATTTTACAGCGCCGGTTCCCCCGCAACTCGGTTCCAATTCAATTCCGTTCGAAGAGATTCATTTTATCGTTCCGGACGAACAAATAATTCTCTATGGGCCCGGCGCAAACCTGTTACGAAATCAAGTGCCGCGAATTGTCTGAGATGCGTGAAACATTGTTGTGGAAAAAAGAAGAGATGAGGAAAAAAGAAAGACGCCCGATTTATATCGCGTGGAAAGCAGAGCGCCAACAATTTTTCCATTCGAAATTATTTATTTCATCGGGTCCGGTTTCGAACGAGCACCGCTTGCCGCAGAATCCAATATTAATAATTGTCCGCGTCCTGTAAAATATTGCTGAGAGAAGCTGCACGGTGTCGTGGGAAATACGTCCTGGCACAGAAATAGCAATACGACCGAGAAGGAAATGATTCTTTCTGTAAAAGCGACCTGTAAACCAGGTGTACAATGTTTTTCTACGAATTATTTGTTTCGTAGGAGATTTGACGTGTTTACGACGAGGTTGAGTGTGGTTCGAATAATGTGTCTGGTCATGGTTATATTTTTACGCGCCCGTAAATATTAACAATAGATTTCCGGAACGCGTGAATTTTACACGTATTGAATTTTGGAAACATTATTTGGTAAATGTTTATATCAATTTTAATAGATGCAGTTGCACCGATATGTTTCCTAATTGTCTATTTTCAAAGCTCTAATTTCCAAGGTCCAAACAAACGAAGATCAACTTTTCTAAAAACAATAGTAAAAATTGCACATATATGACATTTATATAAAATGCTTTGTTTGATTTGTTTACTATCTTGTAAATATACAAACATTATATGAAGAACATTACGTGAAACAATTGCAAGAAACGCATGGTCCGCAGTAAGGGTATTTAAATTTGACCGTAGCCGCAAACGTATTAATACGGAACCAGTCAAGATTGACCACAACCAATCAGAATAATTTTTAACATATTTCCGCTGTCGTATAACAGAGCCCATGTCCTTGAAATCATCCACGGTGTGTCAACGTTCACGGATATCCGTGGTCACGCGCATGACGCCCGGAAATCCTGCAGTTTCAGCGGTTTCGCGGATCCTCCCTCTCGCTGTCTTCCGCATCGCTCGTATAACAGATATCGTCGCGTGCGCCGGGCAAAAACAATTCTTTCGTTAATTTATTAGTCGTAGATCACTGTCAGCGGGCGGTGTTTCGGGTCGTTCCGGGGTCCCTCGACCAGTTCGACGAGGACAATTTCGAGGATCAACGCCGTTTCTGGCCATGACACTGGGTCGGGAGCGGCACGCGACGTCCGCAGGAGATCGATCGTTAAGGCCAACGCGTTTCGGACGATTGACCGTGCAAACGAACCACTTCCTTTTCCGAATCGTGTCCACTACCTCTCCGCCGCACGAAACGCTACGCCCGTGAGAGAGCGAGAAAGAGAGAGAGAAAGAGAGAGAGAAAGAGAGGCGGCACAGTGACCCTTCCGAGGCGTCGAAATGCATGGCCGAAGGGTTTGCGAACTCGCGGTTTCCGTTTTTCTAAATTATGTTAGGATGGTACGTGCACCGAGGGTGTTTGATCTTCGCTTGTGAAAACGACCGTGATTCCTGGCCTTTCGATGGTTCACGCGGGACGCGATTGCTTTCACTGCTTTGAGCTGCATTTTTGCACACTTCGTTGGTGATGCGGAGAAGATTGGAGATGTTTGAAAATTATTCTATAAATATAGATATTCAGTGGTGTACGTTGTTCAGAAGATCGATCGTGAAAGGACTGTTGGCCTAATTGGTCAACTTTCATCTTCCCTCATCTGATTTTCAATACTAATTTGCTCTTCGTTGATACAGCTACATGCAACCAATCAAAAACAGCAGGAAAATTCCTAGCAAGAGGTGCCTTTTGCTGCTGTGCTGTCCTGAGTCTCACCTCGTGAACAACACACAGTAGTCACGTAAATTCACAATATTGTGCATTTTGCTTGTAAACTATAAATTAAATTCGATAAAAGTGCTGCTTTGAAATGTCATCATGAAAAGAATACTTCAAATATTTCACTTCCTTTAACAATAAAACTACCGGACGGGTCAAAATGACCCATTCCTGATTTCTTCTGTCTACAATTATTAAAAGGCTAACATATGTTTCTCTGAGAAATTATTATAGAAATTGATTTAGCAATACGCAAGCTGAATTGTAAATCAATTAAAGTCTCAAAAGATGCACGTTCGGAGACACTATAGAGGAATTTCAAAAAATTAATTTAACTGATCGGTAGCTTTAGTGGTAACTGTATTCTCCTAAAATCACAATTAACCCTTTAAACCTCCGTACACATCGAACTTGTTCCCCGATAATCGCGCGCACACGCGGCCACGAGTCGAGCCGACGCGTCAAAGGGTAATTCTCTGCCACGAAAAAAGCCACGTCTCCGGGCTCGACGCCTCTTCGAGCTTCCTATTGCGCCGCGTCTCTGTCTGGTGACCTTATTTCCGTGGTCGCGTTCGCAGCAGAAAAGTTTCGAAAGGCGAGCGAGCGAGTGGGCGCATCGCATTTACGGCGGCGAGACGTCGCGATCCGCACAATGACACGAGTGTGCGGCGGCCTCTTCTTCCCGGCCGCAAAACGTGAAGCATGCACTCGTGACACCTCTCCTGGCGGCGTCTAAGGTCGTCGGCGTGTCGAGCGGTCGGCGAAGAAAAGGGAATAAGGGAAACCGGTTGCCAAGGCGGTCGCGGAGCGCGCCGGGATAGCCCGCGCCGATCTTTTCGCGCCTTGCCTCGAAAGGCCCGTAATTATGGCGAGCTGCGCTCCGCTCCGAAATAGAATTTCCCGGTCGTCGCGTCGACGGGGCGGCGACGTTCCGTCATTCAGCGGCTGTTCCCAATGGCGGAACATGTATTTTCCTCACGGCGACGACTGCAACGTTTTCGCTTGTATTTACTTCTTTGGCCGGCTACGGTTCGAGAAGGACACCTTGAAACGGAGCCGACCAGCGAAGTTTAAAAAGTGTACCACGCGCCGGGCGTAGGGTCGTAATTCAGTCGCCCAGGGAGTCGTTTGACGTTTGTGTTTCTCATGATCGTCCTATCTCCGCTCGGCGACGGACGGTTCGTGAAATGAAATTGCCCGCTGCACGATTTTAATCCTTTACGGTCGAATACCGCCATAATAGAGACTTCGAGCTTTGATATCTACATTCCAGAGCTGCAGTTGAATAATAATTATATATTACGTTAATAGAATATATTCTGGTATATTGATAGGATGATTTCATTATTCGGATAACAAGAGATCGATGTGTGGTTCTCTTTTTCCTGGTATTTAAAACTTCGATGCATAACTCAGCTTTTTTATGAATAAGGTTCTCGAAAGTTTAACAAATTCTCGCAAAGGGTTAAATGGGGACTTCGTTCGGGGACGGGCGGACGCGCGTTGCCTATGAAATAGTATTGCGAAACATTCTTTGCGAACTGGAGAGTCATAAATTAATTGAACGATGATGGAAATAGTTTTTACGTTCGGACGTTTTTGGTAGGGATTTTGTGACCAGTAAGCTACCTCTTGAAAATTTGGAGTTATTTGATACTATAATTGTTTTAATGGAATGATATAAGTTGGCATGTGCGGCTATAGAGTAACGAAGAAATCGCAATTATTTATTATTAATACACGTTTAGTTAAAACTATCGTTTCAGACTATTCTTTGTCCCTTGAGTATACTATGTACAGGTATATATCATAGCAAACTGAATGAAAAATTTAATTTCTATATTTCCTTCTTAAACGAAACTCTATATATTTTGACATCGAGAATACATTTTATTATCAGCAAACTATAAACAGCTGAAAGACGCTTTGAGGAAATTTACTTGATTAAACATTGAAATGCACAAGAGTTCTTTCCCGTAGCAAAGAAATCGTGTCACGACTGAAATAACCTTTCCGTTTCTTTTCTGTTACAGAGGGACGTACTGAACCTGGAGCCGAGCAATGTAGCGAATTGTGTGTCAAAAGGGAAGTCAGAGGTGAGCGCTGGATCTCGTTATTTCTTTTTCGTATTTATCGTACGGTTTTTCCTTTTCGCCGGAACTGTAACGCCAAGTTGATCTAATTAACCCGGTATATGACGAATCGAGAGGCAAAGGTGATGTAATTACTATGAAACGCGGAAAGCATGGGTTAGAATAGGAAGAAAAAATGAGAGAAAACGCGAGCGAAACGTTGGAATTTCCTGCAGCAGCGGGACTCGCGGAGATTCTTTCAATTTTTCTTTTTCCCGAACAGTGAGAAATTAACCGAAGGGAAGTATGGCACTTTGTACTTTAACGATTACAATGGCACGGATCAAAGAGAAAAGAGCGTGTTGTATTTCGTTGAGAAATTCGAATTGAAGGTGCAATTAGAAAAACAGATGGGGAAACGGTCATTTGAAGCTGCGTATGATATTTTCGATAAAAAATACGAAAAGAAACGCGTTGGATTACGCGCGCGCACGGAACCGTTACCGGGTTCTTTGTGAATCAAAGTAATTCGAGTTCATTTGAAGGCGCCTGTAACACAATACCTTCGTTACTCTTGTTATTTCCCGTTTTGCATGTAAAATACATGGTTCTACGGAAGGAAAAGAGATCACGTTTAATGGACCGTAAGTTTCAATTTCACGATGGCGGAAGAACGCACCTCGAAATCTGATATTGGGGGAATACAATAAATTCTGTTTTCCAGTTTTATGTTTTAGTGAAACGAAACTACAAAAACAACCGCGGATTAACGTGCGATTAGCCATTTTGGAGTAATTGTTGCTTCCGCTTTCGCACGAGAATTTTTTTTATGACAACAATTTTGAATTCTTCCGCGATGAATGTGTTAGTTTGTTATGTACTTAGCTATTACGGAAAATAATGTACAGGGACGTTTTCAAAGTTTTAATTTATGAGATCACGCTATAACGAAGTTAGTTAATTAGAGTCTCTAAAGATATATTAAAATTTATAGCTGTGTACATTCTGGAAAGCTAATCACAGTTCACTGTAGGATAGAGGAAAGTCTATTTCGCTAAGATAATAAAGATTAAAGTTTATTATAATTGTTACTTATACTCTGCGTTCTACATTACTGAAAATATTTATTGTATCACTGAAATATTGAACACGATTATACCTATTTTACTATCATTATTAGAAAGACATTGTGCAATCTTCTATTAATAATCCATCCCCTATAAACGAAAATTATATAATATTATTGTAGTAATCGCACTACAATAAACATTGTCGCACAATAAATATTTCTCACTGTTAATTACCACAATTTCAATTGAAATTATCGTTCATAAATTTGAAACACCCTTCGCTTCTACATAAATGCACCCCTTTCATAAATATACAAGAGCATTCAAGTCATTACGCACCGATGAAATATTATTCACGAATAAAAGTCGTACTCGTAATTCAATCAAAACAATATTATCCTACATATCACGCCTCGCCAATACACACGCTCATCACATTCACGAATGTAATCGCATCGGGCGCTAAACAATCAAACGAATAAATTTCAATCGAATCCTCGTCACATATATTTTCAACGAAAGAGTAGATTCTTATATCGCCGCCGTAGAACGGAATATTCTGCAAGGAAAAATGGAAGGTCGACGAGGCACGCTCGATTACCTTTCATTTGATTACAAGCGAAAGCGCAAGGAACGATGTAAAATTCACGCTCCCGCGCTCATTCCGCCGCGAGCCGCCGCTTATCACCAGTTCATTCGTATTCACGTCGCACGCACCGGAGAGGTGTAAGGTCCGCGCAAATATTCTCTACGTGACGACAAAACCAATTTATTTCTCGCGCGCGGCCGCGCCGATTTCGCCCGGAATACAGGACCGATGTGATCGATCACGGGACACAATCCTTTGCCTCGATCCGGTTCGATGTAATTTTTCGATGAAAAAAAGATCCGTGTCTGCGCGTTAAACTTTTGTCACTGCGCGATCCTGACCCCCTGAACCCTGCCCCTCTCGCGACGCCCGCCGCGTTTCTTCGCACGTATCAACCAAAAATTCAATTTTCTTCCCCTTCTTTCACAGCACTTCGACTGCCGGAATCACATAAGGGTGATCCAGCCAATGGGGGACGGGAATCGGCTCTACATGTGCGGCACGAACGCTCACTCGCCGAAGGATTGGGTGATTTATGTAAGTATCTCTTGCGTTTGTTGTTCATCCCCGATTTACCGGAACGTCTGCCCGGAATACTCGAGTCTCGGATCGGAAGGAGGCTTTTTTAGGGTTGTTACGGGGGCTGTTGCGTACTTCCGGGCTTTCGGGTTTGTTAGGCTACATGTATACTTCTTACTCCACGCCGACTGTGCGCCATGTTGCTCGCATTAAACGAGAATTGTGATTTGCATTTATTGTAGACCTGATTATTTTGGGGTTGTCGAGAATTGTGTATGTATTTGTAGTACTGTGTACTTACGGTACTAGTGTCCCTTACTTCAAAAGATATTGATAATTGTTCTTCTTCGAATATGGAATTAAAAAGAAAAAAGGGAAATTATAATTATTCGCACTAATGGTCTTTACATAGCGGAAATGATAATGGTATAAATTAGTGAATGAATGTTATTACCGTAATAACTAGATTGAAACTGCTAAAGTGAACTACATTTAAATATTTCTGAATTACCTGGTGTTAGACTTCAATGAATTATTGTTTATTTTAAAACTACTAAAAGCCATCGATGTTTAGACCCGAGGTTTCTATATTCAATTTTTACAGCAATTAATACCGTTAAATCTTATCTTAGAAATTGCAAACGAGTCGTCGCTAATTAAAAATTTTCCTTTCAACTCTGGCTGCTGTCTAGTCGGTTTATCGTTTTTGTCGAGTTTTCGCTTCGAACCTATCGCCGGCGCGATCCCGCGGGAACAAAATTATGCACCAAGGTAAATGAATCGTGCGTTCAAGTACCCGTGTAATGAAGTCAAAGAATATATTGGTCTCGCTTTGTCGAAG